AATCAAATAAAAGCAATAACGAGGTTAATAATACTACTAATAATACTGTAAATGTTTCAAGTAATGTCATTTACAAAGCATTTTAGTTACTATTTATCTACGAAACCTAACTTGTTTTAACAGACATGATGGCGAGCAGACGATTTTAAGCCTTAAATAAACCCCCCACTAACTCTTAGCCATCTGCCACTGATCTAAGTTCGTTTCAAGAAAAAAGCTACACACCACCACACACACACACACACACACAGACACACACACAGACCACAGACAACACACCACCACCAACCTGCACCATTTATTTAGCGAACCACCAAATCCAAATTTTCCCAAACATTCTGGGTTTTTCCTTTCTTCTTCTTGTTTTTTTTCCGCAAGCCCTGTCCAACCGTTTGAAACAGTGGATTTCGACCAAGGCTGAAATTGTTGGGTTTTAGTAATATCTTTTCCAGGAACCCACCAGACCCCCAACCTGGCTCTTTTTTTTCCCAAAAAACACCAAAATTTTTTCCCAAAAAAAGCCCACCTTAACTTGTTTTCTTTTTCAAAACCAGTTTTCTGGCTACTGAGAAAACCCAACAGGTTGTTTCTTTGGGTTTTTTTTTTACCATCAAGGCCCAAGAAAAAATCCCAAAAGTTTTAATAGCAAAATCCGAAGGCGCCCCATAATGACAACCCAGACAAGGAAAAGCAAGCTTTAAAAAAAAGAAAACGAGAAAGGGGGGGCTCCCAGTAAAGCCAAGCAAAAACCCAAGCCTTTTGGTTTTTTCTTAGGGGGCCCCCTGGGGATTACCACAGGGTCAAAACAAAAATTTTAGCCCAAGAAAAAAGACTTTTTTTCCAAAAGGTAAGGTTTTTTTTGTTTTCATTCTTCCCAAAAACATTTGCTTTCCTTACCCAAAAGGGGTTTTTCCCCCAAAAAAAATAAACAATTAACACAATTTTAATCGGTCCCTTTTTCCCAAATACCCTGTGGGGGGGGGAAAATTTTTTTTTTTTTTTCTTTTTTTTTTAAACCGCATTTTTCCCAGGAAAAGTTTTTTTTAAAAAGGTTTTGTTTTTTGGCCAACTTTTTAACCCCTTTTTTCTTTTTTTTGGGTTTTTCTGGCAACATCCGGAAAAAGTCCCTCCCCTTTTTTTCCCAAACCCTGCCTTTTTTTCCCGAATTCCCCCAACACACCCCTTTAAAATTTCTTTGTTTTCCAAAAAACAATTGGGGGGGGGAATTTTTTCCCCCCTTCCCAATTTTTTCTTTTTTCCCCCACTCAACCAAGTTTTTTTTCCTTACTTTTTTTTTTTTTCCCCCCCAAAGTTCCCAAAGAAAATTGGTTTCATGGTTTTGTATTTTTAGCTTTTTCAAATTTTTTCTTGTTTTTTTTTTTCTTTCAAATATTTCCCACTTGAACATCTTTTCTTTTCTCTTTAAATTCCAATTCTTTTTTTTTTTTTTTAAAATCAATATATTAAACCCTGCCTTTTGGACAAAAAGGGGAAAACTAGCTATAAAAGACGTAAAGAACCAGTAAAAAGTGGTTAAGAGTTTTATAAAAAGCCAAAATTGACCTACAAAGTTGGGCCCTTTCTTTTTGGTGCCTAAATAATCAAATAAAAATAACCCAAAAATAAACAAAATTCCCCTTTTTTTCCTGAAAGCTTTTCAAAAGGGTTCTTTCCCAAGAAAATTGAAGCCTTTTTGGCAAGTGTTTGAATTGGGCAAGGTTTTCAAAAAGGCAGTGGCAGCCAATAAACTGTTTACAACAATCCCGTCCTTTCCAAACAAAAATAAGAAGGTTCCCAAAGTCTGGAATTTTTTTTCCCTGAAACCCTTCCCCCTGCAAAAAGTGGCTTTTTTTCTTTATTAATACTTGAAAGGAAAATCCTTGGTTGCTGGGTTAGGCGAAAACAGAAACCAACCAAAAGAAAACAGCTTGGGATCCCATAACGTCGCCACCATGGTTGCATTTTTTTCTTCCCAACTTTGGTCTCCAACCCCTTTAAGCAAAACCAGAGAGGAAAGGCTTTTTTGCCTTCCCAAAAACCCTCTGAAGGTAAACCCCTAAAAAAAAAAAGTTATTTTTTTTTTTTTTTACTTCGCAAAAAGCTTTTAAACAAACGGATTGCTTTTTTGCTTTTTTTTCCAAACTTTTAACTTTGCCCCTTACAAATGACCGAAAAAAACTGATTTAGAATACTTAAGAGCCCAGACCCATCAACGGGATACTGGAAAGCCAGAACAAAAATTTTTTTTATGGGGTGGGTGGTGGTTGGGGGTTTGTGTTTGTGTGTGGGCGTTTTGTGGGTTTTTTCTTTTAAAACCCTTGGGCTTCCAGCTTTTTTTTTTTTTCAACCAAGGTTTAAAGGCAAAATTTGTTTTTCCCTCAAGGCGGTTTAAGGGAGCCTTGCTTTTTTTTTGGCCTGTCTTCCCCTCGCAGGCCCCTTTTTTTTTTTTGGTTCCGGTTTCTAAACCTTTTTTTCCTTGCCTTTTTTTTTTTCTTCTTCCCCTGGTAAAAAGAGTCCTTCTGGGGGGTGTCTCTTTTTCTTTTTCAAAGCTTTTGGAAAACCACCCTAGCCGCCTTTTCCCCCTGAACCAAAAACAAACAAAAAACAAATTACAATTTTTTTTTTTTTTAAGAAATAATTTTAAACAAACTGGAAAAATTGTTCCCTTTTTTATTAATTTTTTTTTTTCAAACAAGAGGACGTTTTTTTTTTTTTTTTGTTCTTTTGGATTTTTTCAAAGCTTTTTTTGATTTTTTTCTTTTGAAACTTTCTTTTTATGTTTTGGCTTTTTGTTTCTTTTCAAAAATATTTTTGTTGAAAAAAGAAAAAACAAAAAGTTTCCCCAAAAATTCTTTTGTAAAAAAAAAAACAACTGTTTGTGGCTCCTTTTTTTTTGTGTTTTTTTTTTTTTTTACAAAACCCAACTCCTTCCCTTTTGTGAAAATTTTGCCTTTGTAAAAAAAAATAAAACAACCAAACCAAAGAACCAAAGAGGTTGAGGGAGCCTTTTTTTTTGCCTTTTTCAAATGGAAAAGTTTTTGTTAAAAATGATACTTTTGTTTACCCGGGCAAGCCAAAAGGAAGGGGGGCGGTAAAAAGTCGAACAAAAGAAAAGAAGGAACCGGGAAAGTGTTTTGAGGGGAAAGCAATGAAAAATAAAACGTTTTAAAACTGGGGACAAACAGGGATAAAGTTTTAAAGTTGGGGTTTATGGAATTGTTGTATGAATGGCCTTGTTAAATTTGTTGTTGTTGTTGGTTGTTTGTGGGGTGTTTGGTTGGTTTGTGGTTTTGGTGTGTGTGTGGGTTTGTTTTGTTTTGGGTATTTTTTTAAAAACCTTTCCCGGTTTTTTCTTTTCTGCCCAGGCCCAAGTTTTCCCTTTTTTTTGAAAAAAACAAGAATTCTGCAAAAAAAGAGGACACCTTCCAAAAAAAAAAAAAAATTTATCATCCCAAGAAAATTGCCCCTTTTTTTCCTTTTTGGCCCGGACTTTTTAAATCATCCCCCCCTGCCCTTTTTGGGCCAACAAGAAAAAATTAACGGAAAAAAAACAAATTGGAAAATTTTTTTTCAGTCCAAAAAGCCGACGGAAAACGGGAAAAACCAAAAAAGGGACAACCCCACAACAAGTTTCACTTTTTTTGAAAATTTCACCCAAAAGAACAATTAATTTCTCAAAGATCCCTTTTAAAGAAGAACCGCCTTTGAAATTAAGTCACAAAGATTAAAGCAAAAAAAAGGAATTTTCAAAAACATTAAATCCCCTTTAAAAAACTTTCGGAAAATAAATTCAAAAAATTTGTTTTGTCCTTCCCAAATGCTTTCAAGAGGGGGCCTTTTTTTTCTACAATTTTAACTCCAATGTCTTGGGTCCCTTTTAGAAGATTGGGTAAAAATTTTGAAAAATTTTTTTTTTCTAAAAAACCGTAAAAAAAAGCCTTTTCCCCTCCCCCAGTCCCAAAAAAATCAAAAAAGTTTTGGTTTTTTTTTTTCTTTCTTTTTTTCTTTCTTTTTTGTTTCCCCTTACAGTGGGGTTTGAATTTGTTTTTTTTTGAAAAAATGATTTTTGTTTTTTTTTTTTTTAATGTTGCCAGAAGTCTTTTTTTTTTTGAAACTTTTTTCTTTTTTTAAGACAAGGACAAAAAGGTTTTTTTTTTCTTTCTTTTTTTTCCCAACAATTCCCAATCTTTTTTCCAAAATTTTTTTCGTTTTTTTTTTACACATTC